TTTTGCAGATATTGATTGTGCCGGCTATCAAATTCTGCAGACACAGATTTTTGCTGATAATGGATTTGTGTCACTAAGAATTTTTGCAGATAATCATTTTTGCCGATAACAATTTGTGCCGATATCGATTCGTTCCCTCAGATTACAGTAACACTTAAAAACATGTTTAGTGTCTATAACTTTACCTTATTTCTCATTTCATCAATCATTCCTCTCGCAAGCCAACATTTTAAAAATAGCTTGAAATCAAAACATTTAATATGACTTCTGAAACATTAACTGATCACATTAATCGGTTTCTACTGTTGTTCAAAATGCCGTGTGTGTGTGTCAAATAGGGTTCAACATAAAAACCCCCGTCAGATTACGATCTTTGGCCAGTCGATCAGTGCATCTCTGAAGGCTGTAATGCATCAAACCTCGGCCTCGTCGAAGGTCAGCAGGAGGTCAGACGTGCCGGACAGGATCCCACGGGAGCCGTCGATCAGATAATCTCTAGCCGGCACTGAATACGGGTCGGCCTTTAGCATCTGAGCCGCCTGAACCAGTTTAGTGCACGCGTTCTCCACCCTACAGAGAGGAAAATCAACATTATTTTAGAACTTAAAACATCATTTTCCTTCAGCTTAGTCCCTTATTTATGAGGGGTCGCCACAGCGGAATGAACCGCCAACTATTTCGACATATGTTTTATACAACATATGCCCTTCCAGCTGCAACCCTGCACTGGAAAACACCCATACACACTCATTCACACACACTTATACACTACAGCCAATTTAGTTCATCAATTCCCCTATAGCGCATGTGTTTGGACTGCAGGGGAAACCGGAGCACCCAGAGGAAACCCAAGCCAACACGAGGGGAACATGCAAACTCCACACAGAAATGACAGCTGACCCAGCCGCGACTCAAACCAGCAACAGTCTTGAGGCCACAGTGCTAACCACTGAGACTCTGTGCCGTCCCATATTATTACCATTCTTCCTTTATGTTTTTGTTTTTGATATCTTGCCTACTAATCAGTGCACTGTGCATCAGCAACTACAGATATTAAATATGAATGAGCAGATCAATGAGCGCTGATATTTCAGAGCAGGTCAGTCACTGATGTCTGGAGGACGAGTTCAGTTTGTTCCTGCTCCTGATTCATTTATTCACACTTCGGCAGCACTAAATCAAGAGTAGAGACACATCAGGCCCCGATTCCCACAACACACACACACACGCACACACATACGCACACACACACCAGTGCTATTCATCTGTCGTCAGGAAGGTTCTGTT